GAGGCAGAGGGAGAGAATCTTTAAGCAGACACACTGCTGAGCATGGAGCCTGATGCAGGGCTCGATCTCATGACCCATGAGATCATGACCTGAGCCGAAGGCAGACGCTTAACGACTGAGCCACCCAGGCGCCCCAGAAATTAAGTTATTTTAAAATGAAAATAGTGCTGAAATGTTGATCCTAATGCCTTTTTTTTTTTACCATTGCCTTTGTAAACAGGCCTCACAGGCAGGAGTCTGACCTGCCCTTGTCTCGTCATCAGCCAAAAGAACTGATAAATTGGCTAAGGTTGGTTATACTGCGTAAGTCACTACTTGACCAGTCATGAACTACACGGTCAAGCTGGTTTTCCACACTTAGAGAGTGAGTAAGTGGGTAGGATAGTTGGGAAAGAATTTCTTAAGTTGTTATAACATACTTGTTTCCACATAAAGTCACCACAGGGTTAAGAAAAAAGAATTCTCACTGGAGTGCACATTAATTTTTCTTTGCCCTAACAAGTCCCAGAGCACAGTGATCTGTTTATAACATACATAAAGATAGACAAAGAATCAGGTAAAAGTATTTTTAAACAGTGCTAAACTCATTTTACAAACAAAGATCTTCTAATATACAAAACCTCAGATAATTCAGTCAAAATAATCCATCTTTTCTTGAATTTGTAATGCTTCCCGCAATTTTTAGGAATGAATGTGAAGAGCAATCTTCACTTTTCAAGGTTCTGAAAATATCTTCAAAATATTTATTTAAACACTTAAGCAGAAAGCTTTGTCTACACAAAGCAATAGCATACAAATTCCATGAGTACGTTTACTTTGGGAAGCAATATCCTCTGCTGTACTTCTTTGACTTTGACAAAGCAATTCCAAATCTATTGATGTGTTGAGCACCTCCTAACTTCCTTACACTAGGAGAAGGGAGTATTGCAGAACTATTCTGACCTTCAGAAAGGGCAAAGTCAGAGGGGAAAAAAGACTACATTCAAAAAATGTAGTTTAAATATACTGTGATATATATACTGTTCCAAACTGAATATAGCTCCATACCAAGCTCCTTTTGGAGACAATAAGAAACACAGGAAGAACAGAGTATCTTAAAGGAAGGCTTCTGGGAGGAAATGGAACACTGACAGATATCAAGGAGTTATCAAAGGTTGTTTGTTTTGTTTTTTGCTTTTTGTTTTTAGGAATTACCAAGTTTTAGTGCTGTGATGTGTTTACTTGTCACTGGCCTTTAACGAGTATTATTCCTGCTGTTACGATTTTGTTCACTCTCCGTTCTGCTTGAAACACTCATCCCACATTCAGCCTATTCAAATTCCACTCATCTTTTAAGGCCACCTCAAATTCTTTCCTTCCTTCAACAAGAATCAATAATAAAATCCTTAAAAAACAAGAAGGGATCTTATGTTTCTTATCTTTGGGGACAACAAGAAAGGGAGGAAGAGAAGAGTTTGAGAGTCTGTGTCTACTTGAAGTGAGGAAACCCCAAGGGATAAAGCATATGGTCACAGTTTCCAAAGTAGAGTCACATAAGCATTGACTTCTCCCATTACTCCTCATCTTACTTCCACACCAACCCTAGAAGACAGATATGACCACTCCTCGTGGCCCCACACCATTGACAGATTACTGTACCCATGTCATAGGGTTGTTCTAAAGATTAATGAGTTTTGGCATGTAGAGTGCTGACACAATAATCTTTCAATACCTCTTAGTTACTAGTATTTAATTCCCACTAGGAGAAATAAGTATCAATCAAGAAGATTACAAAATTTGCCTGGGCATCCCAGAGATACCACAAACTTAGGGATATTTCCTATGCTAATTTTTTGTCTTGGGAATTCCCAGACCAACTAGGTAACATCAGACATCAAATCTACCTGAGATACAGACCAGTGGTTGCAAATTCTCAAGGGAAACTCTCCCACCCTCCTGGCCACCTCCATCACCACTACTACCGCCCTCTGCAACTTGTAAATCCAGAGGCCAGACCATCATCCGTCTTGGTAGGGTTTTTTCTTTAGTTCCACCCTACCCACTGCCCCTTTTACTGAGGGTGTAGTTTTTAAGACTTGCAGCATGGGCCCAAAGCTTCTAATTCTGTCTCTGTGTGAGCATTAAAACTCAAGTCCTTGAAGTAACGGAAAACAACATCCTTCTTGTACCCACCACTACCTGGGTAGTGTTCATATAGGGTTAAATTTCTGTTACTCAGATTATTAGATCTATTAGCTATGCATTTATAAGGATGTTTACTAGGTTATTCTTTTTGGCTTTTAATCCAGCATATCTAGGTCTTTTATAGCTGGAGGATTGTCTGGCTATTCTAATTTGCCAGAACAAGATTCCCATCATAGTTTTTCACTGACAATCAGATTAGGCCTGTTTACCTTTTCATTCTCAGTCCTTACCTAAGGGAGTGTTTTATGTAGTTTTAAACTCCTAAAAATAAGCTCATGTTTTAGAGATGAATGTTTGTTGAAAACCCAGAGGAAACTATGGCATAAATTGTAAAACAACTGCCCAGACAAATGTAATGACAAATTATAACCCTAAAATGGTTTACTATGGATCATATATCCTCATATTTCAGAAACAAGCCTTACTTTAATACTTTACAGGGAAAAGCACAATTGATTCTTTAAAAAAAAAAAATAATAATAATAGACCTGTAGATACATGGAAGAAGATTATTCCCTAGGAGGTACAAAGGTCCTGAGGAAAGAGTGGGTCTAGCAAGTCTGAAGAATGGCGAGGAAGCTAGTGTATCTGGAATGGAGAGAGAAAATGAGGAGGAAAAGTAGTAAGAATTGGGTCAGAGATAGAACCAAGGACCAATCATGTAAGGCATCATAGGTTATTATAAGGACTTAGGCTTTTATTATGATAGACATAGGAAGCCATTTGAGGACTTTGGGCAAAGGAGTAAGTAATGATCTGACTTATATTTAAAAGGATCATTTGGGCTTCTGGTTGAGACAAGTGGGGGGCAAGGATAGAAATGGGGAGACCAGGTAGAAGGCTTTTGCAGTCATGTAGGTCAGAGATGATTGTGGCTTGCACTAGGGTGGTAAGAGTGGAGGTGCAAATGATCGGAATCTATGTATATTTTGAAGGAAGAACTGACGGAGTAGATGTGATGTATGAGACAAAGGAGGAATCAGAGGTAACTCCTTGTAGGAGTAGAGTTACATTTTAGCACATCTGGAAAATATAATTCAAAACAAATTAGTTTTAGACATGAAAATATTAAAATACCTTTTAGACCTACAAGTGGAGAGGTCAGGAGGGCTGTCATTCAGGAAAGAGGTCTGAGCTGAAGTAATTAATTTGGAAGTCATCAACATAGAGATGGTGTATAAAGCCATGAAAATATGAGGTCACCAGGGGAATGAGTAGAGATAGAAAAGAGGTTCCAAGATGGTGTTCTAGGGCACTGTGACACTGTAGAAGGGAAATGAAGAACCAACAAAGGAGCCTGAGAAGGAGCAGCCAGAGATGTAAGAGGAAAAAGAGTAAGGGCAATGTCCTTGAAGTCAGATATAAAATGTTTCCAGGACAGGGTCAGATACTGTCACATTCTATTGTTAGGTCAAGTAAAATAGGAACCCAGGATTGATCATTGAATTCAGTAGCACAGTAATCATTAGTGACCTTGATAAAAGCAGTTTTACTGGAATGGTGGGGGTGAGATGCTTGGTGGATACATTTAACAGAAAATGGAAAAGGAAAGTTAGAGAGGCAGCAACTATAGATAGATCTTTCAAGGAGTTTTGCTATCAAGGGAAGAATAGGAGTGGGTTGACAATTGGAAAGGGAAATGGAATCAAGAGAGGATTTTTTTTTTAAGATGGGAGAATTTATGTGGATGAGAATAATGTAGTAGAGGGAGAAAATTTGATGATGCAGGAAAAATAGGAGAGGGTTGCTGGAGCAGTGTCCTTAAATAGATGAGAAAGGTAAGATCCAGTAACCAGTGGGGAGGTTGGCCCTTCATGGGAACATGGTGGAGTTTTAGCAGGGCCTTGAAGTTGGGTAGCAAGTATAAGCATAGCTCTGAAGGGAATGACAGTATGTGCACATAGTCAGTTACAGTATTGAAGACCTTCATGAAACTTTTTGCTGTCTTTAAAAATTGCTGTTTGAAAATTAGATATTGAAGGTACCGTGTAGGCAGGAGTGCAAGAAAAATACC